GTGGACTTAGGGTTTGAAAGACTCAGGTGCTCTTGGAGAACCACAGGCAGTTCTAGCTTTACAGGATACTAAGAATGGGATAGGGAGCCAGGTGGTGGTGGGGCACACCTTTAGTCCCAGCACTCCCAAAGGGAGGCAGATCTCAGGGTTTGAGGCCAGGCTGGTCTGCAGAGTAAGTTCCAGGACAGCCATAACTCTGTCTCAAAAAACAAAAAAACAAAACAAAACAAAACAAAAAATAGAAAAAAAAAGAAAAAAGAATGGGATACGGCTGGTGGAGGGGTGAGCAAAGGCCTGACTGGCCGCCTGTTGCCTATCCACCGTCTCTCTTGTGTGCGCTAGGTTTTCATGTCTTTCTTTGCTTCTCCATTCAGGCCTGTAGTTTAGAGATGGGCGTGGTAGTGCACACCTCTGCATGCTAGCACATGGGAGATTGAGGCAGGAAGGTTTCCTTGAGTTTGAGTAGACTGTGTTCCATAGGAAGACCCTCTCTCAAAATAACAGCAACAAGACTGGGTAGTGGTGCACACCTTTAATCCCAGCACTTGGGATGCAGAGGAAAGCAGATCTCTGTGAGTACAAGGCCAGCCTGATCTCAATAATGAGTTCCAGAACACAGGGTCTGTGTCTCAGAAAACAAAAAATTACAAACAAAAAGAAAATAAATAAAATAGCAGCAAGAAAAGCAATTTAGAACTTGTCATCTCTGCTTTACTTTTTACTTGGTCAAATCAAAAAGGTCTGGGTGTTCCAAGGTTTGTTCATGCTTCCATCTCACCAGTTTCCAGTTTCCCTCCTGACCACTCCTTCCTGGCCACCTGGGTCCCCTTTCCCACCCCGGGGTCTCCACATTAACTTTTCTTTGTAGTCACATATGTTTCCCTCAAATTACGAGTGTGAGCCACTCCACTCTGCCCCATTGTTCTCATCTCTGTTACTGAAGACCTGCCACATTCACAGAGGCCTTCTCTTCCACCCCATACAAGATCGAGTGGTGCCCTTTCTTAAATGACTCCAAAACAGTTTTCTCTCTGTGTACAGCGTGTTTCCATGGTTCACTGTCTGCCTCCATTTGGAGCAGAGCTCTGAAAACAGGCATTTGTATTTCTGTCTTCGGTCTTTGGTATCCCTAAGAGCTTTTTGACTAGGTGAATGAATAAATAAACAAAATCAGATATGTGTGTCTCAGTTGGTAGAGTGCTTGCTCAGTATTCATAGGGCCCTGGGTCCCAGCCCCAGCACTATGTAAATTGCCTTAAGGATGCAAGCCTGTAACTCCAGCACTTGGAAGATGGAGGCAGGAGAATCAGAAGTTTATGCTCATCCTGGATCAATAATAAGCTCCAGGCCAGCCCAAGATGAATGAGACACTATCTCAAAAGCAAAACAAAACAAAACACAGAAATGTGTGGGTCTTTAGTAAATGCATTGCCTGAGGATTTTTGTATTTGTTAATTTCATTAGCTTTATATTTAGAAAACATTAAAAATTTAAAAAGTTAAAAGGATCGTTCCCTGTGCATATGTCCTGTAATTAAAGAATTATTTACACTTTGCTGAAGTTGCTTCATGTTTTGTGTGTGTTCATGTGTTCATGTATGTGTGGTGTGTGGGTGGAGGTGTAAAGGGAAGCCAGCCTGTTCCAAATCTGCATCAGTCCCAAGTGAACACACAGGAGGCTATATTAATTATGAAGCTATTGGCCTTGCTTGTTTCTTACTGGCTAGCTCTGACTTAAGTATTTACCCCATAATTGTTGATCTAAATATTTCTCTTACCGGAGAATAGTTCCGAACTTCTTACCCCTATCACAGCTACATCTTGACTCCCTGTGTTTCTCCTACCCAGAATCCTCCTCGACTCCTAGTCCCTCCTATCTTGCTTCCCTATTGGCCAACAGTGCTTTATTGACATATACACAGGACTTTCCCCATCATCTCCTCTTCCGTCTAAACAAAAAAAAGGTCTTAACTTTAACATAGTCAAATTATATATAAAAGAACAGTTATCAAGTAAGAACACAGTTACAATATTTTATCTATCAACATTTAGCAAGACTTAAAGAAAATATCATCCATCCCATCTTTGTGAGTCCAAAGTTCTATATGTAGCTTATCTTTTATCATAACTAAGGAAAACTATAATTATAACTATCTGTCTTCAACTCCATCAAAGACTACAGAAGGATAATACATAAACACTAGGATTGACAGAGACATCTTACTGCCCGGACAGTCACCTGGAGTTTCTCTGTAATGTTGGGGCATCCATCTTCAGCCCATAGGCCACAGTGTGTCTGGAAGACTTCTCAGCAAAGCAGGAAATTTCAAACTGTTCATCTGCATCGGTAGTCTGTCAGTCATTTTTCTGTGTCCTGCAGAAAGTCTCGTAGACTCTTCCATGAATCAGGAACCCTGAAGGACTATTTGAGTTCAGCCTGTCACTTTCCTGTGGGTCCTGCATGTCCAGTTTATACAGCAACAGTCAAGCCGTCCAGGCAAGAGCAGTTTCTTGCCCAAATGGCTAATCTTGCCATGTTGAAAGCAAACTCCATAACAAATTTCTTCGATGCCCATCTTCCTCTCAGACGTAATTGGTGCTGCCAGGAGCAGACATTTCTCATTGTCAAGAAAAATCCTAAACCATTTTAAATGCCATTTTCTGAAGGTCTTTGGAAGGTTTGAAGACTGTCTACCTATCTCAAATTTATCTCTGTATATCTAGAAAACCTAACTTTTCTAACTATAAGTTCTGACTATTATAAGTAACTATCTATAATCTGTATTATGCAGTACATTTTAAAAGATCAGTATAAGCACAATACTTAATCAAGAGGAGAAATATACATACCACAAAATTGACCTTGAATTTGTATCACTAAATGAAAAACCATACACATACCATAATTCCCCTTTTTACCATTAAAAAGAGATTGGTTGTGATCATTAACCAATTATAAACAATCCCATTTAAATGAAAATAAAGATTTATAAACAAGATGGGAATTAGGACGTCGTTTGTTCCAAACTGCTTCGTGCTGGAGGGGGGCGCTGTTCATACCATGGGGATCATAACAAAACTCAGAAACCTGTATAAGTCCTTATTTTCAGGGTCTGTGAGGCTAAATCATCTTAGCTGTTTTAGATGTTGAATCACTTGGGCCATTGCTTCCGGGGGTCTTGGTTCATGAAACCACAGAAGCCTGGAAGGAATCCTCAGCTTTTCATTGTCTGTAGAAACATAAACAAAAACTCCTTTCCCAAGTAACATATCCTTATACTTAAAATTTGAAGTCAAGGCATTTTCAAAAGATATAAGTTGAATTAATTCAGTAGCATTTATAATCAAGTGTACTTTAGCAGTTGTTCCTTCTTGAGCAATCAAAAAACTGAAAAACACAATAGCGTACAGTATCCAGACTTTCTGTGTATTTTCCATCTTTACGTGGCTTATTTATCTATTATTATACTTTTATTTCTTTATTTATTTCCTTGAGACTGGATTTCTGTTTGGAAATCCGCCTGCCTCTGCCTCTGCAGCAATTCCTACCGGCGTGCACCACCACAGCCGGCTTCTCTACTTATTTACCACTATGCCATTTCTTTTTCTCTCTCAATCTTACATATATTTTTAAACACACTGTAAACATTTGGAGGTTTTTCTTCATCCAAGTCTGACTTTCCTGTAAATCTTTATGTTTTTCTGGCCACGTGTCTTATCTGTAAAACCGTGGCTGTTTAAACTGCAGTCTTTCCAAGATGGCGGGCGTAAGCATGACTTCAGCTCATTGTCTCAGTCTATGCTGACATCCAGCAAAAGCTGCCGGCCTAGAGATGTGGTCACTGCCACTTCCAGCTGTACAAACACATCTTTCAATTGTTAGCAGAGTCTCTTAAAAAAAAAACCTTGCTTTTTTTTTAATGCTGAGTCAGGAAGACTCCCTTAAGCGTGCCGAGTGAGTCTCTGTTTGTCGCTAGCAAAATAGAGCCCACCTGAGAAAAATGCTGCTACCAAAAAGCCGTGCTTCTCTCTGTCCTTTTTTTTTCTAAAATTCCTTTAAAGCTTTTGTTGTTCTATGTGGAAATTCAATCCCGCTCCTAACACCATTATGTAAAGGGAAGCCTTCCTGCCGGCCTGTTGCAAAGCTGCATCAGTCCCAAATGATCACATAGGAGGCTATATTAATTATGAAGCTGTTGGCCTTGCTTGTTTCTTACTGGCTAGCTCTGACTTAAGTATTTACCCCATAATTGTTAATTTAAGTATTTCTTTTACCAGAGAATAGTTCCGAACTTCTTACCCCTATCACAGCTACATCTTGACTCCCTGTGTTTCTCTTACCCAGAATCCTCCTCGACTCCTAGTCCCACCTATCTTCTTCCTTATTGGCCAACAGTGCTTTATTAACATATACACAGGACTTCCCCCATCATGGAGGCATTTAAAGATCACACATTTAAGGATCACAGTGGCCACACCTTTAGTCCCAGCGCTCAGGAGGAAGAGGCAGATGGATCGCTGTGAGGCCAGGCTGGTCTACTACAAAATGAGTTCCAGGGCAAACCTACCTCAACACCCTCCCATCCTCCCCCCAAAAAAAGAAGAAAAAGAAAGAAACCTGATGTGGTGTTTTGAAAGAAAATGGCCCCCTAAGGGAGTGGCACTATTGGGATATGTGGCTTTGTTGCAGTAGGTGTGGCCTTGTTGAAAGAAGTGTGTCACTGTGGAGGTGGGATTTGAGGTCTCATATATGCTGAAGATACCGCCCAGTGTCTCAGATCACTTCCTGTGAGTCAAGTTGTAAGAACTCTTAGCTCCTCCAGCACCATGTCTGCCTGCATGCTGCCTTGTTTCCCACCATGACAATAATGGACTAAACCTCTGAACTGTAAGCCAGGCCCAGTTAAATGTTTGCTGTTATAAGAGTTGCTGTGGTCATAGTGTCTCCTCACAGCAATAGAAACCCTAACTAAGACACTGACATTCATTCTTTTCATTTAGAATTTGGTTCTGGAGAGGGGTGACTTGGGCCATGGCCTCTGACCTAGACTTCTCACCTCCTGAGGTGCCTGAGCCCACCTTTCTGGAGAACCTGCTGCGCTACGGGCTCTTCTTGGGAGCCATCTTCCAGCTCATCTGTGTCTTGGCCATCATCGTACCCATTCCCAAGTCCCATGAGGCGGTGAGTACTTCCCTGGGGTCTCAGCTTTCTGAATGGCAGACTGGGTTCTTATACTAGTAGACATCACCACATCCCAGATCAGCAGGGACTGTGCTGGTCCTAATCGAGTTAGTATGACCCCTGGATTCCTACCTGATGGATGGAACCAGGTGATTAGCCCTTCATTTGTTCAGGGTTTTGTTTTTGTTTTTGTTTTTTGTTTTTTCGAGACAGGGTTTCTCTATTGCTTTGGAGCCTGTCCTGGAACTCCCTCTGTTGACCAGGCTGGCCTCGAACTCACAGAGATCCTCTTGCCTCTGCCTCCCGAGTGCTGGGATTAAAGGCGTGCACCACCACACCCGGCTGTTCAGATCTTTTTTATAATAATTCATTTTTTTTGAGGCAGGGTTTTATTGTATAACCTAGAGCTGGCCCGAAAATCAATATCTCCATGAGTCTGAATGCTAGGTTTCTATTAAGCTCTTTATTTTATTTTGAGATAGAGTCTAGCTGACTTTAGGTTTGAGGCAGCCTCCCCACCTCAGCCTCCTGGAACTGTAAGTGTGAGCCATCAACCTTGACTTCTATTAAGGCTATGAGCTCCTACTGCATATCAGACTGCTAAGGAGTGTGGCCTCTGCCTTCAAGGAGCTTCTTGTCTTTGGGAGCGATGCAGATATAAAGCAACTCCTACTGATGCATGCCTGTAGTCCCAGCACTTGAGAGATCAAGGCAAGAGGATTGTGAGTTCAAGGCCAGCCTGGGCTGTATAGTAAGATCCTGTCTCCCAAAGTTGGGAAAGAAAAGAAGTAAATTTGCTTTCATGAGCCTGGTGGTGGTGGTGGTCAGGAGACAGAAGCAGATGGATCTCTGTGAGTTTGAGGCCAGCCTACAGATTGAGTTCCAGTACAGCCACGGCCATACAAAGACACCATGTCTCGGAAAAAAATTTCTTTTGTTTGTTTTTGCTTCTATGAGAAGCACAAAGTACAGTATGAGTGAATAACTAGGAGAAGGGACCCAATCATACCCTGGGATTTCCCTGATGCTGAAATAGAATGAGCAGGCTTCTCCCAGGTGAAGTGGGGTTAGTGGGAAGATAGCATTCCAGGGTAGGGGAAGTGCACTGTAGCTCTGGGCTAGTTGAGGGAGCCCAGGACATGACTGTGGCTAGAACAGAGGGGACTCGGTGAGAGGTGCAGCCTGAGGTGTGGGCAGGGCTCAGAGGGTTTGAAGGCAAATGGTGGCATGATCACATTGGCTTTGGGTTTGACTCTGACTCTATGAGTGTCTTTATTCTGCAACATCCTTCTTCCATCCACTCTCATTTTCTTCTGACGTTGATTTGTTGGAGAAAGCAAGATTTTATCACCTGTGAACTACACATTCCAGGATTTGTCTGATTGCTTCTCTGAGTGGCCACTGTTCTCACAGAAGTTCTGTGTAGGCGCTTAAGGCCATTCATTCAGTTGTTTGGTGTACCTGGTACAACTGGTACTCTGGACTTGCTGACTTTACAGTTGTGGTTGGTGTCAGCAGGATCATGGTGTCAGGGTCTCCTGTGCATCGAAAGATCTTTGTAAAGTTCAGATGGTCTTACCTGAGCCTGAATTCTTTGTCCTAAGTGGCTACAGCATCCACTGTTGGTCACCACTGAGATTCATTATTCCTCCTGCATTGCCAGCTGCCATAAAGTGAGCTGCCTGATGTGAACCCAGGTCCTCTTGGAAGAACACCGAGTACTCTTAACCACTGAGCCATCTTGCCAGCTGTGGAGGTGTGAAAGAACATTGCCCCTGAAGGGAGTGGCACTATTAGGAGGTGTGTCACTATGGGGGTGGACTTTGAGGTCTTCTTTGCTCAAGCTTCCCTCAGTGTGGCACTCAGTTGACTTCCTGTTGCCTGCACAATTTAGGGCTCTCAGCTATTCCTCCAGCACCATGTCTGTCTGCACATCACCATGCTCTCCACCATGATGATAATGGACTGAACCTCCTAGACTGTAAAAGAGCCCCTCCCAATTAAATGTTTCCCTATAAGAGTTGCTGTGGTCTTGGTGTCTCTTCACAGCAATAAAAACTCCAACTAAGACACCAACCGTCTATTTGATGTGTTAACTAGATTTTTAAAAAATTTTTTGGTTTGTATGTATGAATAATTCCTGCATATGTGTAAATGAGCATGTGCATGCCTGTTGGATCCCCTGGTAGCTCACAATGGACTGTCCTGGGAACTGAACCCAGGTCCTCTTCAGTATCAGCAAGTACTCTTGTCTACTCAGCCATCTCTCTATCTCCATTTTAATTTCTAAATTGCATTTATTTGCTTGTTTGTTGAGCGTGTGTATGGGTGTGAACTTGTGTGGAGGTCAAAGGACAACTTTGGGAGTTGGTTCTCCCACTATGTAGGGTCTAGGGACAGAGCTCAGTTTGTCAGTCTTGTTAGCAGATGACCTTCACGCTGTGAACCGTGCCACTGGCCTGGTTTTTGTCTCTTTGTTTTGTTACTTGAGATAGGGTCTTGCTTTTAAGCCCAATCTGTCCTTGAACCCTCTCTTCTCCTACTTCAGCCCCCCCCCCCCCAATGCTATAATAGTAAATTGTGCCAGCACACCCAGACACACTAAGTTTTTTTAGGAAAGAAATTGCACCAGGTATAATAGCTCACACCTGTAATTACAGCTCTCAGGAAGCTAAAGCAGGAGGATTGCTGTAAATTTGAGGGCAGTCTAGACTCTAGTAAATTGTAGGCCAGTTTTGGCTACAAGGTGAGATCCTATTTCAGTGGAAAAAAACTGGAATTCATACTGGTGTTTAGAATTCAAACTGAAGACTTTGCTGCTTTTACTTGTGAGGTTACAATTGTACCTTAAAACATTTTTTACATTTATTTATTTTGTGTGTGTATATGTAAGTGTGCATATGCCAATGTGTGTATGGAGGTCAGAGAGCAACCTCCAGGAGTTGGGTTTTTCCTTCTACCATGAGGGTCACTGGGATTGAACTTAGGTTGTCAAGCTTGGCTGCAAGTGCCTTTACCCACTGAGTCATCTTGCCAGCCCTAACAAAATTAACACACAGACATGCATGTAGGCAAAGCACCAATGCACATAAAATAAAAATAAATTATATATATACATATATATATATATATATATTCTTAAAGGTATCTTTTTGGCATCTGGGTGGTCTGTCTGTCACAAGTCAGCAGGTGGGTTTGTATGTTTGCAGGAAGAGAAGGCTGTCGCAGATAGTTGACTGACATTAAGGCGTGTGTAAGATGGCACTGAAGCCATGTGAGAGGATGAAGTCTCCTAAGAAGATACTGAAGTGAGATGAGAAGAGGGCTAAGAGGTCCTGAGGCACACACACTTGTAGTCCCAGCACTTGTGAGTTTGGGGCTGCCTTAGGCTACTGTGGTAGTTTGAATGCAACCTTAGGCTACTGTGGTAGTTTGATTGGCCCCATAATCTCATAGCAAGTAGCACTATAAGGAGGAATGGCTTTGTTGGAGTGCGTGTGACCTTGTTGGAGGAAGTGTTGGAAGGGGTGGGCTTTGAGGTTTCCTATGCTCAGGATACTACCCAGTGTTGCAGTCAACTTCCTCTTGCCTACAAGATGTAGGACTCTCAGCTCTAGTATCACGTCTGCCTGCATGCTGCCATGCACCCCATCATGATGATAATGGACTGAACCTCTGAAACTGTAAAGGGGGAGGCTCTCAATTAAATGTTTTTCTTATAAGAATTGCCATGGTCATTTTATCTCTTCATAGCAATAGAAAACCTAACTAAGGCAGTTACACAGTAAATTCAGGACCAATCTGAGCTGCATAGACACTGTCTGGAGCAGGGGATATGGAAATGACTCAGTGGATAAGTGCTTGCTGTGCTGTTCAGCATGAGGACCTAATTTGGGTCCTTAGCATCCACATGGCTAAATGCACGTGACCCCAGCACTGGGGTAGGTTAAGACAGGCAGAGTACTAGGGCTTGCTGGCCACCAACATAGCTGAAAAACAGCAAGTCCCAGGTTTGGTGTCCTCAGGTCTCTGTATGTGCACATGGATGCATGTACCACACACAGCATGAGCACACACTCAGCACATGTATACAAACAAGGCAAAGGGCAGAGCATCAAGGTGCTCCAGCGTGAACAGGCTCATGGCCTCTGATTATTTGGTCTGTCGTGTATTCTGGCATTTGTGGATGTCACCACTGGACTTTCCACCCATAGTCACATCACATTTTAAAAACACAATCCCTGGCCCGAGTCCTCAGACAGGATATTGGACATTGATTGTAGTAACAAACTTTGTCTGTCTCTAGCTGCTGTTGCTGAAGCTGCTCTGAGTCTCCAGGGAGGGAGGTGATGACCATTGTTTTAATTGGAGAGCTATGAGGGGAAACCATGTTCCGCCCATTGTTCTTAACCTTTTGAAGTGAGCCTGAATCAGTCCCACAGGCTTGCAGGGAAGGGCAGCAGCAGGCTAAGGTTCCACAGGCTTGCAGGGAAGGGCAGCAGCAGGCTAAGGTTCCACAGGCTTTCAGGGAAGGGCAGCAGCAGGCTAAGGTTCCACAGGCTTGCAGGGAAGGACCACAGCAGACTACGGTCCTTAGAAGCAAGGAATTGACAAGGGGCTCAGAAATAAGTCTTCCTCAAATCAACTGAAAGTTGCTCTCTGACCTTGACACATGTTCACTGTGGTACCGCCCATAGTAAATAAATAGATATAACTTTTAAAAATTTAATACATGTCTCCTAAAAAACAAATAGGAAAAAAGGAAAAAAATTAAGTACATGTCTCCTAACTCCCCCAACAAGCAGGAAGACTTAATTTACCTCATCTTTTAAAATATAAATACATTGCAGTAAATCTTTTTCATTTTTCTTGTAGTTCAGAGGGTGGGGAACACAGGGGAGCTACTTTCCTAACTGAACTTTACTGTATTAGCTTTATTTTACTGAGACAAGATTTCACACTGTAGCCCAGGCTGGCCTGAAACAGAGAATAATAGTTTC